AGAGTATTTCAAACCTTGATGCAGCAGTTAGTAGTTTAAAGAAAAAGGAAAGAGCCCTATATTTATAAATGTATGCCTCCCAACTTTGTGAAATGAGGAGAGGCATCTTCCAGCACAATGCACTTAGGCAATGAACACACCCACGCCATGCTCCCAGTTATATGAGCCATTCAGAATTCATATACCAAAAATGATTGCTTAAAGGAGAACTATGAGGTGAGTGCTTTTCACTCACCTCATAGTTCTAGCCGACCTGTGACAATGAGACTGTCACAGGTCGGCTCAGTAGATTGGGAGGTGAGCGAACACATACCAGGTTCGCTCGCCTCTCGATCCTGTCACGGCTCTCTGCCGTGACAGGGGGAGGGGCTGGATTCCCCTCTCCCCGCTCCGATCTGCCAGCGCTGACTGGCGGAACGGACGGGGGAGGGGGCGGGTACAGCTGGCTCTGCCTCTAGATAGGCAGAGCCAGCTGTCACTCACGCAGCTGGGCGGATCCCGTCATCTACGTCGGGATCCGCTCCGGCTGCGGCGTCTCAGTATACCGCGAGCTGTAGCTCGCGGTATACTGAGCTTAGGGTAACGGGAGGACGCTAGTTTGTGCCCTCCCGTTACCCTAAGGAGAACTATGGGGAAAAACACTGACCCCATAGTTCTCCTTTAAACCCAGAATTATTTTTCACTATTACTTTTCCTTTGTATTGGCTTTTCATATTAGCAAACAGGATAATTAAAGGAGAACTGTGGGGTTAGGGCTTTTCCCCATAGTTCTCCTTAGGGTAACGGGAGGACACAAACTAGCGTCCTCCCGTCACCCTAGGCTCAGTATACCGCAAGCTGTAGCTCCCGCTATACTGGGACGCCGCAGCAGAAGCGGATCCCGACAATTATGTCTGGATCCGCCCAGCTGCGTGACTGACAGCTGGCTCTGCCTATCTAGAGGCAGAGCCAGCTGTACCCGCCCCCTCCCCCGTCCGTTCCTCCAGTCAGCGCTGGCGGATCGGAGCGGGGAGGGGGGAATCCAGCCCCTCCCCTGTCACGGCAGAGAGCCGTGACAGGATCGAGAGGTGAGCGATCGGCGGCATGTTTCCGCTCACCTCCCGATCTACTGAGCCAACCTGTGACAGTCTCATTGTCACAGGTCGGCTAGAACTATGAGGTGAGTGAAAAGCACTCACCTCATAGTTCTGCTTTAAGAGATAAAATGAAAGGTTTAGTGCAGAATAACAGTTTTGGTAGTTAAATTAAACTTTCTCATAGATATTTGTACATCAGACCAAAAAGAGGGACAACTGAGTAAAAAAGAGGGACAGAGGGATTTGGCTCCAAATAAGGGAGACTAGAGAGGTATGTTAATGTACAGTATATGCAGCCTGGTTGCATTACAGTAATAAGTAGTGAGGCTTCAAAAGGAAACACACAGTCCCTTGCTTGCACTTGTTACACTTCCCACATTTCAAAAATAAAAGAGAAGCAGACAGACCATTAATGCTCACTGGCCACATTTTCATGCATTTTACAGACACCTACAATGAATGTTATCAGCAAAAAAAAAGTGCTGTTATAAAAAGTAATCCTACCCACAATTCCATCATATTTATGGTGTTAGTTACAAAATGAAATACACAATTTGACCACAGACAACTTTTTTCTATACTTTTGTCTGAAATATGCAACAAAATAATTGACAAGTTAAACTGGTCTATACATCAGCACTAAATAAGGGGTAGGGGGTTTGGAGTCAGGAAGAGGAACTGTCCTTCCACATGAGGTACATTCAAGACATATGGGCCAGTGTTGTCTTTACAGTACATACAGTATACACGTGAGTCCAGTTGGTACGAGCGTGCAGGCCTATGCCACGTTGGATGAACTTGATGGATTTTTATTTTTTTTCATGAATATGGGCTTCTTTCCCCTAAATAAAGGATAGGGGGATTGGGGTTGGGAAGAGGGACTGTCTCTCCACATGAGGGACATTTAGGAATTATGCACCAGAGTTGTCACAGTACATGTTCATGTGTGTTGAGTAGGTACGAGCGTGCAGGTCCATGCCACGTTGGATGAACCTTTCAACCTATATATATGCAGAGATTAGGTTTTCTAACCGCTGTCTACAGCCAGATTTATAAGTGATCCCCTGATGAGCAGTCTTGGTCAGGGGCTGGAAGGACATTTTGCACCCAGTGGTCCTAGCAGATGGATGGTGCAAGGTTACATACCGCATCAGAACCATTACATGCCAACTCTTTGAGATACAAAAGGGGAACATCTCTGAGCACCAAGTATACAGGCAAAGGACACACTCCTGCCACGCCTCCAGTTACGCCATCCACAAAGAATGAATAAACATATAATGATTGGGTAAACATATTCGTTTTGTCACAACTACTTTTCCATAATACTGTTTTAAAAGTAGCAAATGCAAGTAATACTTTTGGTAGTTAAATAATATATTTCATAGGGGATCGGTACATCAGACCAAGAAGAAGGACAGAGGGATTTGGTTCCAAAAGAGGCACAATTCCTTAAATTCCAAGACCGGGAGCTACCATTCCTCCATCAACCTGTAGCCTAATGATAGATAACCTAGTATGTTAAAGGTGGTAGACTGCAGAATTCAAAGTCTAAGAACATCCTGACTCCCGTTCTTTCAGCCACATCATGCTGGGTTAAGTAGGGCATGATGAGAGGTTGAGCCTTGTAGCTCCTCCGCAGGTGCAGCTGCATAGCTCCCATTTCTCCATTAAACTGCAGCTTAACAAGAGGCCGTGCACAGATGGTCATTAATGTGTGACGCACTAGAGGTGTTAGGGTGTGCTGAGACTTACAGTCCATCATCCTGCACCAGCCTGCGCACATGCTTCCAAAACCAATAGGTTTCTAACACTGGCTGTCTCTAGCCTGTCCACCTAATAACACAAGTATGGTTCCTACCTAGATAAACTTCTGGATATAAAAGACATGGCATGACATGGAATGATTCGACTTGTAGTTCACCAAGAGTTTACGTTACGTTACAGTCTGTTCTGATCCTTTGTATTTAGCATCGACTATGCAATGCAAAGGTCCGTCAGACTGGATACAAATGAAATGGATTGTTTAGGCAGGCCCATGTTAATTATGGATTTGGCAAATCTAAATGAGATTTTACAGAGATTATGCGGTCAGGTGGCACGTTATATGGCCAGTTTGTACAGAGATTGTAAATTGAAACTGTATTGTGAAGACTTAATATGTAGCAGCCATGTGTCCTAACTTTTGGGATGGGCAATATTTAAGCAAAAGACACACCCTTGCTACCCTCACCAAACCCCTTCACTCTCAGGGTCATAATTTGCCACAACGTTTCCTTAATGGTAAATTATAAAATGGCATGGAGGGGAATTTATCAAAACTGGAGCAGACAAAATTTGGAGCAGCTGTCCATAGCAACAAATCATCTTCTCTCTTTAATATTCAGATCTTAACAGAACAAACTGAAGAGAGAAGCTGATTGGTTGCCCTGGGCAACTGCTCCAGATTCTGCCTGCTCCAGTTTAGATAAATTGTCCTCATTATATTTAAGGCTGAATGAGAAGAGTAGAGCATCATAAACCCTTTTGGCAGTTAAATGGTAGATTAACAGGGACCGTTATGGAGGAAGGAGGGGCGGAGAGATTTGGTCCAAAAGAAGGACAGTTAGGAGCTATGGATAGTATAAGGACAGGAAGATGATAGGATATGCTGATCTTTGTTGTCCTTTAAGATATAAAAGCTTTCAAGTTGCCTAACTCATAAATCACCAACACAAGTCCTATTGATCCATCATATGGATCGTACCTGTCGTTTAGTGTATATCACACCTATACCCCCCTCCCCTTTTATGGGACAGACTCCTGGGTGTCAATGTGCCCCTTTTGTGAAAGGTCTTCTCCTGATGCATCATTTCAATCCTCCAGACAATCTACGCTTCCACTAAAACCCAGTAGAGCCAGTGGCATGCTCGGCAATTTTAAAATGCTGAAAATGTATCTGACGTTCGGATTTAAAGATGCATGCCACTGAGTACAAGTACTGATTAAAAGTCACATGATGAGACTTGTAGTCCTTCAACAGATGCAAGTTTGAAGAAATCTCCAACTCTCGGTAATCCACCAGATCGGTCCAGGGCATTAATTGGACAAACCTAGATGTGCTTTAGTATAAGGAGCATGACATGCTGTGACTTACAGTTCTGTAATGAACGCATATTGCATGCATTCCTGGCACTCCAACCCCTATTCCTCCATACATTAGATCATACCTATAGAATAAACTGTATAGGTCCCCCTGGATGCTCTACAGCATAGCTATAGATACAAGATAGTGACCTGTAGTTCCTCAGCACATTGAGACTTTACGGTTGCAATAATGGGATAAAGTCCAACTCCTCTTCCTTGAGATACCAGATCAAACCTGTCGCTGTATATACACAGATCACAGCAAGCTTCTGGCAGGACACAGTGGGACTTGTAGTTCCAACCACTGATGCTCAGCAGGCGTCATAACCCATACATTTCTAAGACCACAACTCCCATTCTCGTGTCAATCTGAACCGTATATAAATTATAGCTGTCAACATTTGAACCCTAACGCTACCTCTAATCATTTTCAGGGACACTTTCCTGCTGAGCCCCCTATATCCCAGCCAGCCACATTTGTATGATATTATTTATTTCAGAGGACCCTAAACCATCTCGCAGCATGTCCCAGAACGCTTTATGACTTATTGCAGCTACATTGGTTCGGCATCACCTAACAAGCCTGTAGAAAATGTTTTAAAATACATCGACACAGCGTTCAGACAACAAGGCATGTACCGAGCAACCGGTCACAAAAGTGGAAAAAAAAAAACCCAATATGGACCTGGGAACATTTTCCAAGGACAACTACTCCAACTGTTCCTAGAAATCAGAGACAACAGGCAGCTGAACAGCACAGAACAGGGTGACAACACCGATCCAGGAGTGTCAACTCACCTTTGAGCTGGGGAACCCTGACCTGGTACACAAAGGCATCCTTGGCCAGATCCAGTATGCCAAGATAGGCTTGTGAGCCAAACCATAGCAGTGATCACAAGTGGGTTAATTCCTTGCCATGCCAGAGGTGCCCCGGGGGGGAGCTTTCAGCCATTCACGGAAGGTCGGACGGGATGGATCACTTGTTTTTGTTTAATCTGCTGTCAGTATTCTACAATTCTCTTTAGCATTCCAAGAAACTGAGGGAGCTCCACCGGCTCCAGAAGCGCTCCGGCTGGTGGCAGTTGGCTGCGAGCTCTACTGGAGAATAAAAAGTATCCAGATGTCAGTGGGACTGTCCCCTCCGTCTTCTCATTGTCTTCCTTCCCACTCTCTCGTCTGTGTGTATGTGCGTGTTCGTGTGCTGTGAAATCCTGCCTGGATCTCTTTCTTCTTCCTGAGCTCACTGGCTTTCATCCAGAAGCTAAAACCGGAGAGGTCAAGCGGTGCCTTTCTCTCTAACAAGGGATCCGCCGCGACTCTCCCAGTGACAGCTCCGATTTGAAGGATCTGGGCAATTACTAAGTCTCTATAGCTGCCAGATTCACTCCCAGCTCTCCCCCCACCTCTTCCTCACACACGCAGAACTCCCCCTTTTTAAAGCTGCTTTCATTGCCCACATTTCAGGTGGAGCTGTCTCATATTTCCCTTTGATTTTTGGAATTTTCTGGGTATTGGTGACATGTGCTCCTGCTCTGTTTGGTACCCCTGTAGGGCACCTGCAAATTAAATATCATTAGCCTTGGCACAGCTGTGTATACAGAGCGAGGGTTCATATTTTTGTAGTGGAAGGGTCAGTCCGAGCAGCGTCAATTTCTTATTTATTATAGGACACAAACCTATTTCGCACATTTACATCTCCACATAAGATGTGTTGTGGTACCATTGATTCTGAATGGCACCCTTTTGCACTGAGGCAACCCACTGTTATTGCAGCACACCCCAATACACATTAGTGTTTTGCAATACAAAAGAAAAGGGTCAAGTGCATGCACGAAGCTATTTCACACAGTTACATCTCCATGTAGCGGTAATGTATGTAAGATGTGTTGTGGTACCATTCATTTTGAATTACACCCCATTGCACTGAGGTAACCCACTGGTGTTGTAGCACACCCCAACACGTTAGTGTGCTGCATTACAAAAAGAAAGGTGAAGTGCACAAACTTATTTTGCACATTTACATCATCATGTTGCAAAAGTACATGTAAGTTGCAGTGCTTTTTATTTTGATCAGCACCCCCATTGCACTAAGGCAACGCACCTGCATTGTGTTGCACCGCAAGACACGTTAGTGTGTTGCGTCACAAAAAAAGGATCAGGTTTGTTTTTTTAGCACGTTAGGATGCATTGGTATATAAATGCACACTTCCCAACTTTCTGAAACGAGAAAGAGGGACACTTTATAGTACAAGGTATATAAGGCTATATATATGTAGGCTATGATATAAATACATACATATATATATATATATAGGGCTCAAAATTTCAAGTCCTGAGCTACTAGCCAGGCCTTAAGAGTTACTAGCAGTTACTAGCCACCAGTTGCCCCACCTAACCCTGCCCCGCCCTTAACTCCGCCCCTTAACACGCCCTCCTAAACAATCTTATGATAATTCTTATCTTATGATAGTTGCCGCTTGTAAACGGCAGATTAGGGATTTCTGCTGCAGGAAAACGCAAGTTCCTGACACAGGAATCTCTAATCACACCTGAAATATACTGTAGGTGTGAATGGGGCCTAATATACACATACACTAAAGGTTCCCATACACCTGCCGATTATCGTATGATAATCGTGGGTGATCCCGCGATCGTACGATAATCGGCAGGAGTATGGGCAGCATGCGACCGCTTCTACTGTAAGGTCGTACGGCTTTCATCTTCCAAGCACGCTGGAAAACCTGCCAAAAATTGTACGATTTTTGGCGGGTTGGTGGCGTGGTCGGAAGACGAATGCCGCACGGGCCGGTGTGCGCAAGCGCACACTGCCCGCTCAGCACTGCAATCATCGCAAGCCCTCCTCTCAGCGGGAGGGCTTGCAATCATCGCAATTACGATCTGCCTGTCCAAGATGGGCAGATCGTATGAGATTTTAACGAAAGTCGTGCGATAGTATATCAGCCCCCTCACCTGTTCACGTCTTTGCAGGGAAGAGGCTGTGAGCAGGATCGATCCCTGGTTATCTGGGGGTCCGCGGACCAGTACTTGGAGACCCAAACTTCCACCTCACTTTATTTTTACTCGCCATTAGACCATTGTCACCCTATAACAGGAAGTGCCGAAACAGCCTGCATGGCAAGATCACCAGGGAATATTTTTATGAGAGCTGCAGCTTTAAAGTAACAAAGACATTTTGAGCAGACGGACTCTTTATTGCGCACATGCTATGTCTCTTCTGCAGTTGAACAAACTTATCTGCCTGCTCACAAGCTTCTAAACTCTCAAGATTTTCTTCAATAATTATCAAATAAATATACATTGCCCAGCAAAGTATTTCTTTACATTTTTAACCAAGCACTTACAGTCATCATGTTTCCAAACAGCTGGCTCCACCTCCCTGAACTTCCTGTCCAGTACATGATCACAAGGGACAGCAGAGTCTCCAGCAACTGTTCATCTACTATCTTGGAGGAGGGAAGAAGCAGAGGGGAGGGAAGTGGCTTGCTCTGCTGTGCCTATGTGTTTGCGGAGACACATAGCTTACTAGCACACACAAGGGTGACTCCACAAAACCCTGCAAGGGAAAGGAGCCCCCCTAAAAAAGGATTATCAGGGCCAGTGCACAGCTGATTCTACAGGAAGCTAAAACTTAAACATAAAGAAGCAGAATTCATTGTAAGTGAAGTGTTCAGCATTGAAATAGTTTAGAAAACCTTTAGACTTTAATATCACTTTAAATAAAATGAACACCTACCCCAAATACACTCTCTGCAAAAACAAAAAACCCCCAAAAATTCATGCAAATTTTAAGGACTGCTTTTTTATGATGAAAGGATTTTTTTGGGGGGGGGACCTTTATGCTGTATATTGTTACATGTCAGGAATGTATTCATGGAGGCTTTAAAAAACATGGTGGAGCTTTGCAGGTTAGCTCAGGCCAGTATTCACAAGCACAGTTCTGCCGGAATCTGATTCTTCTGCTCAGATACGAAAAATGAAAGCTGAGAAAATTGCACGTCGTGTTTTGAAATCCTATACAAGACACATGTGGCAAAGCATGACTGCGGATGAGTTTATATCAATGTGTGAATCTCAACCAGTTCCTCTCTCACGCCATCCCTTCTGTCCTCATACATAGGGCTTGTCAGATGTAGACTGCATTTATTTGGCTTCAAGAATGACTAAAGCCACAACGTTTTGTGAGGGGTACATTATAACCCCCTGTCTCCCCATTGGGGAGATTTCCTCACTTCCTGTCCCATGACCACCACAGGTAGGGAGAGGAAATCTCACAAAGTGAAGGAAAAGCCCTCTTAGACAGTTGTCACTAGAACTAGTGTAACCCTTGGATGATTTCCCCTCTATTTCTGTTCTGGTGGAAACTACAATTTTTGGAATATCTCTCACTCTACTGTCTTGGGGACAGTAGTCAACTGGATAAATAGACAAAGTGAACCTCCTTAGCAGAGACACCAAAGGCAGGAAAAAACGCATCCCTTCTTATGCGAGTAGGTGTGCAGAGCAGACTGGGCACCTAGCGTCTACAGTGGCAGAATATCTGCAAGTCTCACATGTTTCCAATTACTGCTGCCTGTCCCAGTTACAGTCCCACACATGGAACTTGTATCTCTAGTTTTTCTTGTCCCTGGAAATGTTTCTAAATTTTAACATTATTTAACTATAAAAAAGGGGTCATGGAAGCACAGATTTAAAGAATGGGTAAAGCAGAAGCAGGGAGATCCGTGTACTGCAGGTCCTCAGGTGCAGCTTCCGCTCCAGCAAGGAGAACAGTGAGCAGCACAGTAGTCACATTACCAAATTTCACTGCACATCACATAAGCCTAGCAGAGACAGCAGTGCCTTAGATGATCTCACACTGCAGATGTACAGCTAGGAAGCTCAAGGATCTAGAAGAGCACTGCTATATTTCAGAAGGAACTCAAGACAAAAAGTTAATGCTTAGGCACAATTAACATTTCTAGACATTCCTAATAACAACATAACATAGCAAATCTTCACTTTCTGAGTTCAGGTCCACTTTAACCCTTTTTTCTCTATGACTAAACTACTCTGTCAGTGGCATTAGTGGCATGTAAACAAATTCACAGCCACAATAGCAGCCTTGAGTTTTTTTTGCTTTTTAAGAGCAGGCTACCATCTATTTTGTAGAAGCAATCTGGTGGCTCCCCGTGGGCTCACGTGCTTCTCCTGGGAGCCCAGGACTGAAAAAAAACCTCTTTAGTATGGTAAGTGGGGAGAGATGAGGGAATGTCCATTCCTCCATCTCTCCTGTGTAGTATAAAATCCGAAGCACTCAGCTCTTAGCACTTCCGTGTTCAGAGCCATCATTGGCAAGTGATACAAATGGGGGTAGCTGTGTGGGGATAAATTGTTTGTTAGTTCAGTGGTTAGGCTGAGGTGGGATGAGCTTCCCTACAGAGATGAGTTTTCAGGGATTGCCTAAAGGCAAATAGAGTAGGAGATAGCCAGACAGGTTGGGATAGGGAGTTCCAAAGGATGGGTGAGACTCTAGAGAATAATAAGATACATTTTGGTTTATAACAAGAAATGATTAATATTATGCAATTGGCACATTTTCAAAAATCAACAACCTTTTCCGGGACAGTTCCTCAAATCGACATGACAAGTATGTATCAGTTCCCTTATCTGCCCATCCCAGATAGATAGATAGATAGATAGATAGATAGATAGATAGATAGATAGTAGGGTTGCACAGATACCAAGTACAGTACTCGGTACAAGTACAGATACTTTTGAGCTCCAAGACTACACTAGAGAAAAATTCAAAAATTAGGAGGCAGCTGTCATTTGTAAGGAGCACACGGAGCTCCTGGGATTTGTACATCTCTGTTTTAATGTACGATTTTGTTTTTATAAATATAAATAAAGGGATGCACAGATACCAGTTTTGTGAGTACGAGTACTGGTACTTGCCGAGTACTTACAAGTACGAGTACTGATACATTTTTGTTTATTGTCATGTGACAGTTTTTCTAAAACAATACAGAATAATGATTTCAGGACAGTGGTGGAGTGCCAGAGCCAGGTCCCAGCTGCAACCGCTGCAACCCTGGTAGTTCTCATGAAAATGCCAAGTATCTGCACTGGTACTCGAAAAGTATCTGTGCATCCCTAATAGATAGATAGATAGACAGACAGAGGCAGGCTTGAGGTCCCAGCTAGGAGGGCACTGTATGAGAACACATAGGGGATTGGAAATGAATACAGAATATACCAGCTTCTTGAATGACTGTATAGAAGAACTGATAAGCCAAGAGGAAGTTAGGCATACAGTTAATCTTGTTTAATGAGAGGCATGGTAATCCAAGAAAAACTGATCCTAAGTGAAAAGCCATCCCGGGACACTCATCTGTACATATCTATGTTGAATATA